GTGGCCCCACAACATTTTGTTTTCTGGGTTTTTATTATTATTTTTATCACTGTGTGGCTGTGTACAGGAACCACGCCACAGCACTTGTGTGGTCTTTGGATGTCTGTCCTCACCTTCCACTCATTTGAGAGAGAGTCTCTGGGTTGTTTGCCACTGCTGTCACCAGGCTAACTGGCCCATGAGCATCCAGGGACTCTCCTGTTTCTACCGCTCTCATCCTGGTAAGACACCTGGTTATCAGATGCTCTCCTGCCTCTCCCCCAGCTTCCCAATGGTCCTGGGTATCTGAGTCCTCATGATTGTGTGACACGTGTTTTAGCAACCGAGTCATCTCCCTAGCCTTTGCTTTCTGGGTTGTTTTGAGATCTTACCCAGGCTGCTCTCAGACTTGGTGTTAGTGAAAGGAGGCTGGCCTTGAACTCCTGATTCTCCTGCCTCCACCTCTTTTGTGCTGAAATTACAGGCCTGTATTGACACATCTTGCTCATCTTGACCATTTTCACCATATCTCAGTCATCATAAACATTTTCAAGTTCATATCCTCGAGGTTATTGAACTCATGAGAATTTCATTAACTGGCTGGGAGATAGGGACAGGAGAAACAAGAGTTCTAGGTCACCCTTGCTTCAAGGGCAGCCTGGCCTGAGTCTCACAAAACCTAAAAACCAGCCAAACAAAATCCTTCAAACATAAGCGATATCCATCACCATTGCTATGATTGCTTGTTCCAATTCTTCACATTCCCTTTAAGAAAAGATTTATTGCTGGCAGTGGTAGGGTATGCCTTTAATCCCAGCACTTGGGAGGCAGAGGCAGGCAGATCTCTGAGTTCTAGACCAGCCTGGTCTACAAGAGCTAGTTCCAGGACAGCCTCCAAAGCCACAGAAAAACCCTATCTTGAAAAACAAAACAAAAAAAAAAAAAAAAAAAAAAAAAAAAAAAAAAAAAAAAAGAAAGAAAGAAAGAAAAGATTTAATTTTAATGTTACTATTTTGTGTGTATGATGTTTTGCCTGTATCACCTAGTGTTCTTAGAGATCAGAAGGTGCCAGATCCCCTGGAAATGGAGTTTTAGATGGTTGTAAGCCACAACCTGGGTGTTGGGAACTAAACCTGGGTCCTCTGCAAGAGCAGGAAGTGTTTTTAACCACTGAGCCATCTGTCCAGCCCCTATGTTTATTCATTTTTTATTAATGTATATGTCCCTGTGTGTTAGTGAATGTGCACGGGGACCCAACGAGGCCAGAAGAGGACATAGGATCCCCTGAAGCTGGAATTACAGGCAGTTGTAAGCCTTTAGACATGGGCACTGGGAACCAAACTCAAGTCCACTTGAAGAGCAGTGGACACTGACAGATATGCAGGCAACTACTCACATGTAAAATATGAAACAAACTAAGGGACACCCAGGTGAGGTGACATGTAGCAGGCTTTCTTTTGGGCCACCAACCAGCTTCCAAATCATGACACAGAGACTTCTTATTAGTTATGAATGCTAAGCCTTATCTTAGCTTGCCCACTAGCTCTTACTACTTATTGTAACCCATTTCTCTTCGTCTACATTTTGCCTAGGGACTTTTTACCTTTTTTTCCTTTCTATTTGTCCTACTCTGTGTCTGTCTGTCTGGTGGCTGCCTGGCTGGCCCCAGGCATGTCTTCTCTTTCTCTCTCTCCTCTTGAGCCTAGAGTCCTCCTCCTATTTATTCTCTCTGCCCACCAGCCTGACTATCCCTCTCCTGCCTAGCTATTGGCCATTTAGCTTTTTATTAGGCTGGCAAGGTAAAACAGCAATATGCCTTTACATCATTAAGCAAAGGCAACATAAATAAGTGTAACATATCTTTGCCTAGTTAAATGGAATGTAAAAAAAAAAATTCAACACACCTTTACATAGTTAAAGTAATAATCTACAAGATAAACAAATATAAATTTTTTAAGATGTGTTACATGTGTTTATGCTGTGTTTTAATTGTAAAGAGTGCTGCGTTCTTTTCTGTTGCATTTGTTTAACTCTGTGAAGCTGTGTTACTTTGCCTGTCTAAACCACCTGATTGGTCTAAGAAAGAGTTGAGAGACCAATAGCAAGGCAGGAGAGAGGATGGGTGGGGCTGTCAGGCAGAGAGAATAAATAAGAGAAATCTGGGAAGAGAAGATTGGGGAGCAAGAAAAAGAGGGAGAAGAGGATGTTAGGGCCAGCCATCCAGCTACACAGCAAGTCACAGAGTAAGAGGTAAAGAAGGGTATATAGAATAAAGATAAAAGCCCAGAGGCAAAAGATAGATGGATGATTTAAGAAAAGCTGCCAAGAAATAAGCCAAGCTAACACCAGGCATTCATAAGTAGTAGTAAGTCTTCGTGTTTATTTATTTGGGAGCTGGGTGGTGCCCCCCCCCCACAAAGAGCAAAGAGAAAAAAAAAGTAACACATTTTTCACATCTTTACAGTTACAGGAATATTCAGAGCAGTGGTTCTTGCCTTTAGTTCAGCATTTGGGAGGTAGAGGCAAGCAGATCTCTGTGAGCTAGAGACTGGCCTGGTCTACACAGGGAGTTCCAGGGCTATACATCTCTAAAAACAAGCAAACAAAACAACAACAGAAGACACACTGGTAACGACAAACTACGTTCTTAATCTGCCCCAAGAGCGTGAACACCTTGCTGTAAGTGCGTCTCATTTCATTCTTTCAAACTCTCTGAGAGGCTAATACCTTCATCTGATGGACAAAGAATGATGTTCAGAGTGGCGACACCACATGAGCAGCAAGTAGTAGAATCAAAAGTCAGAGCTGGGTCTCCTCCCCCCATTTCAGCCTCCCATCTGCCTCTCATGCAAGTGGCCACCTTCCTCCCACAGTGGGCAGAAGATACACAATATGGAGCCCTTCTGTCTTATTAGTTACTCTACAGATTATGTAACAAAATACCTACCCCTTCCCCAAACAAAAGCAACTTAAGGAAGAGTTTATTTCAGCTTACCATCTTAGAGCACAGGCCACCATCACAGATAAATCATAGTGGCAGGAGCCTGAGGTGGCAGATGACATGCTGTCAGCAACTGAGAAGCAGACAGCAATGAATGGTGGTGTTGAACTAGCTTTCTCCTCTTTACGGTACAAAACCCCAGGCCATGTGAATTTTCCCATCTCAATTAACTTAATCTAGGTAATCCCTCATGGACATGAGATTTGTTCAGCTACAAAGTGATACAAGATCTTGTCAAATTGAGGTATAAACCATCATACATTTCCTGGCTCAAGGTTGGCCCCACTTCCCAGTGCATTTGGCAACCTATCTTGCTATGGCCTCCAGAAATGCATCCATCCCACTATGATAACACCAGCCATCCTCAATTCCCTTCCTCCTGCTCCCAGTGAGGGTGCTACAGCCCCCCCCCACACACACACAGAGTTACATAAGTACTGTAGTGTATATAAAGTTCTTCATACATAATGAGCATCATTTGTTTGTGGCTGTTATTAGTCTGTGTTCAGTAAATACTGACATAGTAAAGCACATGTGGGGAGCTTGGGGATAGATACTGAGAAAAAAAAAAACAGAGTACAATCATACATAGCACACTTAATTCTCTGCCCCTAGCCTCAGCACAGGGAGCTACAGAATAGATGCTGTCCTAGTCACTATTCTGTTGTTAGGAGACTCATGACCATGGCAACTCTTGAAGAGAATGCATTTAGTTGAAGGCTTGCTTACAGCTTCAGAGGTTGGTCCATTTTCATCATGATGGAACAGCATCTCGGAACACATGGTGCTGGAGAGTAACTGAGAACTTTATATCCTGATCCCCAGGCAGGCAGGCAGGCAGGCAGGCAGAGGGATTGGGTGTGGCATGGGCTTTTGGAAACTCTAAGCCCACCCCCAATATCACACTTCCTCCACCAAGGCTACACCTACTCCAACAAGGCCACACCTCCTAATCCTTTTCAAATAGTGCTATTCCCTAATGTCTAAGCATTTCAAACATATGAGTCTGTGGGGGCCATTCTTACTCAAAGCACCACAGACACTCAAGATATGAAGGCAGACATGAGCAATGGTCTCTGATGAAGCTCAGAGAGGTACCATGATTCTCTCAGGACCACACAGGGAATGTGCAAGCACAGGGCAAACCATCAAGCCAATGGCAAAGAGTGCCTCCCTAGGGGATGCCACTGGCAAGCACTGCCCACCACAGGATTGAAGCTAAACAGGGATGGAACATAAGAGAGGCTGCGCCCGTGGACCCTGTCCCCGTCCCAGTTCCCACCTCAAGGTAAGAGCAACAACTCCTTAGTCTGGGGTGGAGACTCAAAGAAGAAAGCACATGGAGAAAGAATGAGCAGTAGGAAGGACTTCCCAGGAAGTGCTGGTTTTCTTGTTTTAAGACACGACCTTGCTATGTAGCCCAGATTGGAGATTCTCCCGCCTCAGCCTTCATTGTTGCTAATGCATCTCCAGGCTAGCTTAAGGTATAGGGTTTGTTGTTTCTTGTTGTTTTTTGCTTTTTATGAGACAGGGTCTTGTGTAGCCCAGGTTGGTCTGAAACTGGGTATATAACTAAGGATGCCCTTGAACTTTTAATCCTCCTGCCTCCACCCCTGGAGTGCTGGGACATAGGCATATGCTACCTACCATGCTAGGTTTATAAGGTTCTGGGAGAGAAAGAACCCACGGTTTGTATATGCTTCGTGTAAGCACTCTATCCAGCGAAGGCTTCCACCTTGGGCCCAGACATTGGTTTTCTCTATGAGTGAGGGGACATCTGGAGGGATGGAGACCCAGGGGAGGGTCTGAAGATACAGTGAAAAGACAGAGGCTCCTGGGAAGAGGAGTCAGGCCTGAGGAGTGACCTGAGTGTGGCTGGGGAGTTGGAGCACCCCGAAGATGACCAAGAGCTTCTCAGAAGAGAGAGAAGGGAACACAGGCCAGGACAAGGGCTGGGGATCTGCGTAGGATTACAGTCTGCGGAGCCTGCCTCTGGGGTCGAAAGGACCCCCACCTCCCCTTCCCCCAGTATCGCCTCCTCCCATCCCACTCCACCCCCGCCCGGGATTGCGGCGCCTGCGCGAAGCAAACTCGCTTTGCTCTGCTCCAGCTCTGACAGCTTCTGCTGGCTCCGGAGACACAGACCCAGAGGTGAGCTCAGTCCCTGCTCCATGCGGCTCGACCCCTGCCCAGCTGTCTCCCCTGCTCCTAGGGGCGCCCCTCCCCCACTTCTCTAGCATCCCCAGTACGATTGTGTCCGGCCAGAGGTCTGATCCCTATGCTCCGGCTCGGGGAAGTGGAGGTGATGGAGAGCCCCTTTGCACTGTGGGCCTTGACACTCCAGGGTTCATAGAGTGATAGAGGCTCCAAGGACGAGTTCACCCACCCCTCTCTTACAACCCATTCCCGTCGTCCTGCTGTGCCTCAGTTCCCCTCCTGGGAAAGTACGCAGTTTATTTAACCCCGAAGGGTGGTCAGGTTAGGGAGTGGAGCTGGTGGCGTTCCCGATTCCCCTAACCACCTCCCAAGGAGGCCTTGCTTTCCAGCCGGCGCAGAGGTGGGCGTGCCTAAAGACAATCCAGTGCGTCCTCCCACCTACAGTCTGGTCCCCTTGCCCCGACCCACGCAGCCTCTTCCTCTTCTCACTCGCTTCTCATCAAGTCTCTCCCTTTGCAGGTTAGGAACACACGCCTGGTTGTTTCCATGGCAACACCAGGGCTCTTCTGCATCCTCTCCCCCACCCCCACCCTAAGATGGGAGGAGGAGGGACAGCCAGCTCAGTCAAGGTCACCTTCCTTCTCCTGTATCAGCAGGCTGAACCGATCCTTTGCAATTGGAGGCCTGGCGAGAGTGAATTACAGGGAGGGGCTTGCTCTGGCCCTCACCGCCCCTTCCTGGCCTCTAACTTTACCCTCTGGTTATGGAGTCTCCTACAGTCCTCCAGCTCCGTCCATTTTCCTCGCCAGCCTCCCCAGCCCCGGACCCGGAGGTCTCAGTTCTGGTCATGCCTCTGCCTCTACCTTCTCCTTGAGTCTCTGCAGTCCACTTGTCTAGCCCTCATTTTTAAGTCACTGCTACACCTTGACTTCTACCATTAATCATTCTGTTTTTGTTTTGTTTGTTTGTTTGGTTGGTTGGTTGGTTTGGTTTGGTTTTTCGAGACAGGTTTTCTCTGTGGCTTTGGAGGCTGTCCTGGAGCTAGCTCTTGTAGGCCAGGCTGGTCTCGAACTCACAGAGATCCACCTGCCTCTGCCTCCCAGCGCTGGGATCAAAGGCGTGCGTCCAGGCTTTGTTTGTTTCTTATTCCTTCTTTTATTTTCTTCCTTCCCTTGAATTGTGGGGAGAGTGGAACATGTGATCCAGTCAGCACTCCTGTGCACATGTGTGCTGTGCAGTGCCTCTTCGGGGTCTCCCAAAGCACCACCGTGTGTGTGTGTGTGTGTGTGTGTGTGTGTGTGTGTCTGTGTGTGTGTGTGTCTGTGTGTGTGTGTGTCTGTGTGTGTGTGTGTCTGTGTGTGTGTGTGTGTCTGTGTGTGTGTGTGTCTGTGTGTGTGTGTGTCTGTGTGTGTGTGTCTGTGTGTGTGTGTGTCTGTGTGTGTGTGTCTGTGTGTGTGTGTCTGTGTGTGTGTGTGTCTGTGTGTGTGTGTGTGTCTGTGTGTGTGTGTGTCTGTGTGTGTGTGTCTGTGTGTGTGTGTGTCTGTGTGTGTGTGTGTCTGTGTGTGTCTGTGTGTGTGTGTCTGTGTGTGTGTCTGTGTGTCTGTGTGTGTGTGTCTGTGTGTCTGTGTGTGTGTGTGTGTCTGTGTGTGTGTGTGTGTCTGTGTGTGTGTGTGTCTGTGTGTGTGTCTCTGTGTGTGTGTGTCTGTGTCTGTGTGTCTGTGTGTGTGTGTGTGTATGTGTGTGTGTCTGTGTGTGTGTGTGTGTCTGTGTGTCTGTGTGTGTGTGTGTGTCTGTGTGTGTGTGTGTCTCTGTGTGTGTGTGTGTCTGTGTGTGTGTGTGTCTCTGTGTGTGTGTGTGTGTGTGTGTCTGTGTGTGTGTGTGTGTGTGTGTATGCACACAAAGGGATCCTGGGGTCACGATGATTGATCCCCCTTATTCTTCAGGACAGGTACACTGCTGTGTTTTGTTTGGAGCCGCACAGGGAAGTGAGGGAGATGGGAAGAGGCAACAGAGAACCCAGGCCTTCCCAGCATCTTGAGAGACACAGGTCCTGTCCATCCCCAAGACCTCAGAGTTCCCTTTTGTGGTCTTTCCTGAAAATCTTGTCATCAAAAAAAATGAGCCCTGCCAGGCGGCACTGGGAGGCAGAGGTAGGCGGATCTCTGTGAGTTCCAGGACAGCTTCCAATGTCACAGAGAAACCCTGTCTCAGAAAAAAAAAAAAAAAAAATACTGAGCCCTTGATCCTGAGGGCCCCTGAGTTCCACTTTCTGTGGACTCAAAATGCCTTGGGACTTGTATCCTGTGAAAACCATCCCTTGGCATTCAGGGCCATGCAGCTTGAGGTCTTCCATCCAACAGTATCATCTATGAAAATTACCCCAGGAAGGGTCCTGAGAGGGACTTCAACTTTGCAAGGGAACATGAAGATCTTTCACTCTAAATATAGGAGCCTCAAAAGCTGAGGAAGGAAATGACAGAAAACAGAGCGGGGGGGCGGGGGGCTGTCAAGATGGCTCAGGGGGTGAAGACACAGGCTGCTGCCAAGCTGATGGCCAGAGTCAAGCCCCAGGACTTACATGGTAAAAGGGGAACTGACTCCTGCAAGTCTTCCTCTGACCTCCACATATGTTTACATGCATGTACATGTACATCACACACACCCATAACAAATACATTTTAAGACGAAAACACCAAAATAATCACAGCAGCCCCTTGAATGAATGAAACAGTTGTCATTACTAGCCCTATTTTACGGACAAGGAAGGCCTAAGAAGTCAGTACATGTGTCTGAAACAAAGTGTGGGTCTGGGTGACAATCCAATAGTGAGGTTCCAGAGCCGCATTCCAGCTGCTGGATGGTCTGCAGAGAAAACGGGCAGAGTGATGGTCAGACTGAAAACCCCTGGCTCGTGCATAAAGGACTCAGGGAAAGAAAGGGGATGCTGCAAGGCTAGGTGGACTGACTGTAAGGGTGAAGTATCCGGTGATAGTGTGAAGTGGTGAATAGTGAGAGGGTTACCATGGCAACTCTGCTGATCTCCCTCTGTCACTGTACCTTGTGCCCACAGGGATCCACGATGAGCTGCAGTCGCTCGTGTGTCTGTAGCCATGGCACCAATGTGGAGGACAGTACTACGTGGTATGGGGTGGAACCCTACCCTAATCTCTTCTACAGGGACTGTGTGGGTACCACTCTCAGCGATAACCCAGAAGGACCCCTAGTTCAGTACACCTACCAACCCTGGCCCTCATTGTGTTGGAAGGTAAGGCCAAAAGAATGACTCGTGGCTTTGGGGAAAAGATAGGACTGGAATGAGGCCCAGAGCATGGAGAGAAGAGAGATGATGGGGTGGTCAGGGGTCACATGTTCAAGAGACAGAAAATACAGTACAAATAGGTTTCAACAACGAAGTTCATTTTCTAGAAGAGACTAGAGGTTGGATACCTTCTGGCAAAGCTGGATCCAGAAAAGGACAGAGGAGTTTGACAGCTTTTTCTTAGCCCTCAAGATCGCAGTGTTATCAGCTCACGTTTTCCCATGGTGCTCCTCAAATGCCTACTATAGTGCTGACTCTTGGGCCTTTAAAAAACATTGTTTTAGACATTGTTATCAGGACTGGAGAGATGGCTCAGCAGTTAAGAGCACTGGCTGTTCTTGGAGGACCCACATGGTGGCTCACAACTGTCTAAAACACCGGTTGCAGGGAATCCAGTACCCTCTTTGATCTCCACAGGCACCAGGCACATGTGTGGTGCACACACACACACACACACACACACACACACACACACTCACATGGTAATGCTTTGTAAAATTTTTAGATGTATTTATTTTATTTGTATGAGAGACTCTCTCTCTCTCTCTCTCTCTCTCTCTCTCTGTGTGTGTGTGTGTGTGTGTGTGTTCCTTCATGTGTAAATGCTGGTATACACATGGAGGTAAGAGGACAACTTTACAACATCCATTTACTCTGCACTTTTTTGTCAGTTCCAGGCCTCAATAACTCAGGTCATCAATGAAGCCCTAGGTTCGATCCCCAGCACTGCACAAAGTGGGTGTACTGGTGCACAACTTTGATCCTAGCCCTAGGAAGAAGGCAGAAGGGGCAGGGGATAGAGTTTTAAGGTCATACTTGGCTATATAGTAAGTTTGAGGCAGCCTGAGTTACATCCTTCTAGAAAGAAAGATCAACCTAAAATAGCCAGAAATTAACTGAAGGCCACCCTGGAATGCATAATAAAACTGTGGTTCACACCTTGGGAGGCTGAGGGAGAAGGATCATAAGTTCAAGACCAGCCTGAGGTAGAAATAGTGTATTATAGGCTACCTGGGCAACCGAGTGAGACCCTGACTTGAAATGCATAGACTAGTTAATAAGTTAATAGATGAATGAATGAAATGAAGAAGGAATGAAAGCATTCTGTTCCTAGAAGTCTGACTGTATTTGGGCCACTTGCCAGCGCTGTGCTCATGACTATGGCTTTGGAGAGGAAACACTGTGGCAGGAAGTGGAGTCCATCTCACCTACATCTCACTGTGGTTTCCCACTGTGGGTACCACTGACAGGCAGCAGAGATGTGAAAAACAGACATTGTAGGCTCATAAAGCCCAAGGTGCCAGCCAGTACTTTTGATGGGTGTAATTCATCACTAAATATGTAGAGAAATTGAAGCACGGGATACATTCTGCTCCCAAAAGGCTTCCCTCTAATGGGGAGGCAGGGCGCTAACCTGTGTCGAGGGACCAGCCCTCAACCTCGGGTCAGGTATGCAGAAATCCCAGGATGGGTAATGGCCTTCATAGCCAGGATGACCAGAGACTTCCTAGACAAAGTGTTTTAGGTAGAACGTAGTTGGCAAAGGCAGGAATGCATGCGTGTGTGCATGCGTGTGTTTATGAGAGATTGCACTTAAACATCCTGGACAAACTTCCAACATTCTACCTCTGAGTTATACCACGAGCCCTCGATTTACTTTTTATTTTTAGGCAGGGTTGCACTAGGCTAAACTTGAACTCACTCCATAACCCAGGCTGGCCTCACACTCACTATCTTCCTGCCTCAATCTCCTGATAGCTGGGGTTACAATCATCACCTTACCTAGCTAACACCTTATTAATGGATCTTTAAGGCACAGAATTTAAGAACTCTCTTTTTTTAATTTTATTTATGCATTAGTGTGTGTGTGTGTGTGTGTGTGTGTGTGTGTGTGTGTGTGTGTTGTGCATACATGGGCGTATGTGCCAGGGTCAGAGGACAACTCCGTGGTGTCTGTTCCCCACTTCTAACTTTACAGGGCTTCCTGGGATAGAACTCAGGTCATCAGGCTTGCACAGCAAGTGCCTTGACCTTCTGAGCCATCTTGTTGGCCCTCTTTTTTTTTTTAATGTGCGCATGTTTGTGAGTATGCATATGTGCACACACATGGAGAAGTAATAGATGTCTTCTACTGTTGTTCTCACTTTATCTTTTGAGACAGAGTCTCTTGCTGAATTTGGCACTCAATTAATTGGTTAGATCAGCCAGTTAGTGAGCTCTGGGGATCTGCCTTTCTCTACCCTTTGTGGTAGTATGTTCACAGATGTATGCTGCCAAGCCTGGATTTTTCCCCCCAAAGACATGGTTTCATTGTATAGCCCTGGCTGGTCTGGAACTCACAGATATTGGCCAGCCTGGGATTATAGGCATGCTCTCTCTCTTTCTCTCTCTCTCTCTCTCTCTTACACACACACACACATACACACACACACACACGCATGCGCGCGCTCGCGCACCCAAGCAAGCTTGGCTTTTTTATACACATTCTGGGATTCCAAACTCAGATACTGTGTTTACATGGAAGGCACTTAACCAACCGAGCCATCTCCCCACCTCCCAGTTAAGAACTCTTGTGTATGGTCCATTTAGTTGTTCAGCTAGTACTTAGTACTACATTGAGCACAAGACACCTAGTGAACCAAAACATGTCCAACCTTTGCTCTCAGAAGGCTCAGTTCAGTAAAACAGACATCACTCACCTAAGAACCAAATGTCCAAATGTGGGGGTTCACTGGAGGAACTCTGAGTTCAAGGCCAGCCTGGGCTATATAGCCAGTTCCAGGACAGTCAGAGCTACATAGAGAGATCATGCCTAAAAATAAATATTTTAGAAATATTCTAATCCTATTGCTGGAGAGACAGAGGCAGGAGGATCTCTGGGGCTTGCTGACCAACCTAGCCTAATTAACCAGGTCAAGGTGAGAGACCCTATTTCAAAACAGTAAACAGCTCCTAAGAAGCAGCTCCTAAGAGGATGACCTCTTCTTACATGTAGCATTGCAAACCCCCCCCCCCGCTACATCATACACACACACTCAAATAATAATAAAAAATGGGACTCAGATAATGAGTCAAGGTTGGCTTTGCCATTGAGGGGAAGGAAACATTGCCAGGGAGGGTATGATGATACACACCTATAATTCCAGGACTTAGAAGACTAGCTCAGGGCCATTTGGGGCTATTTAAGACAGTTCTGGACTATCCTGGGTAACTTAGCGCAACCTGGTCTCAAACTAAAATTCAAAAAGGGGCTGAAGCTGTAGCTCAGTGGTAGAGTGCTTGCCCCTACCATGTTCACACTCCTGGGTTCTGCCCCCAGCACTGCAGTTAGGTCCCATAGGGATGTTCTTCGATGTCCATTTCATGATGCTATGCTCCTGGACCCCGGCTGAGCCTGGATTCTTGTTGTTCTGTTTGCTCTCCTCAGGTCACTGTGTCCGTGGCATCCCTGCTTCTCCTGCTGGGTGTGGCAGCCCTGACCACTGGCTATGCAGTACCCCCCAAACTAGAGCTTGTCAATGACAGTAAGTTCTCATCTTTGGATGACCCAGTAGCCGACTATAACCAAGCCCTGATCACCTGCCGTGTGGCAGGAGCCACGCTGTGCGGGGCAGCAGGGATCCTGCTGGCTGTCTGCCTCTTTTTGGCCACCTCCGGTTGGCTGAGCCCAGAAATCAAGGCAGAGCCATTGGTCACTGAAGCTGACAGCCCGGTGGAGGTCTTCAGGGATGAACCCGAGCAGCTGTCCCCTGCCTTCCATGATCTTAGCAGTCAGTCGTGGTTCTTGATTCCCACCAGTCCCGTGAGGCAGTGTTCTGTGCAGACCAGCCAACCCCAACGGGACTCGTAAGTCTGAAGACTAGAGAAGTCAGACACGTCCCTCTTGGTACTCCTTGCTCTCATCACCCTTCTCCCCTCTCCGTAGTGTCAATCTCTGCAGAGCCCCTCCCACCCCCCAGTAAGTCTCATGCTCCAACTTCCCTCCTGGTCAGGACAGGGGTAAACTCAATCAAGAACTGCCCTTCGAGGCCAGTGAAACGGCCCAGTGAGTGAAAGGCCTTCCTGGCAAGACTGATGACCTGAGTTCCATCTCTGGGACCTACATACGGTGGAAGAAGAGACCCAGCTCCCTCCAGTTGTCCTCTGATTCCCCCATACACACATACAACACACACACACACACTGGTCCCTGATTTCCCCCCCCCACACACACACACAATACACACAACATACTCACACACTCACAAAGAAAGGTAATGAAAAATATAAAGTCCAGGAATTAAGAAAGGTGGGATGAGTTGCCCCTTAAAGACCACCTCCTGTGAACAGCAATTCCTGCTGGACCTGATCCTGATGCTACTAATAGATGTGCTCTCCTAGCAACCCCAGCCCCTTCTTCCTACAGGCTGTTCAGCCAGAAGGACTTATTCTTGCAGGACACTAGAGGGCGCTCCAGGACAATGGGAGGATCCTGTGTCTGACAGCCCCCCTGCTGACCTTTAGCGCTTCCCTGGGGGGGTGAGAAGAGGGTTCACCCACCACCTTTGTGCCCTGCGGGATGTATTCTCCAGTCCCTGTTTCTCACCTCCTCCATCTTGCCTCGCTTTCAATAAACAGCTGAGATGAGCAACATCTTTGCTTCCTTTCTCCTAGTTCACTGAAGCATGGGGAACTTGAGAGAGAAATGGTTTGTACACCTGCTATGTGCTTACATCCTTTATTCTCATTTGCTCCCAAGGACAACCTTTTAAGCGAAAGATTTTTAAACCATGCTGGATCAAATCTTTAATCCCAGCACTCAGGAGATAAAGGCAGGTCCAACTCTGAGTTCAAGGTCAACCTGGTCTACAAAGAGAGTTCCAGGACAGCCAGGGCTATACAGAGAGACTGTCTCAATTTAAAAAGAAGAAGGGGGCAAGGGCTGGAGAGATGGCTCAGCGGTTAAGAGCTCTGGCTGCTCTTGCAGGGGTCCTGAGTCCCAGCAACCACATGGTGGCTCACAAACACTTGTAATGAGATCTGGTGTCCTCTCCTGTATTGTGTATACAGTATTCCTGCAGAATACTGTATACACAATAAATAAATAAATCTTTTTTTAAAAAAGGAGGAGGAGGAAGGAAGAGAAGAGGAAGAGGGAAGAAGGAAGAAGAAAAAGATTATTGTATCCACAGGTAGATGACTAATGGTGGAAGTCAGGAGTCTAAGGCCCCCACTGGTTAGCTTTATTTGTTCATTGCTCCAGTTGGCTCTCTTTCCTGTCCTTGGGATGGAAAAGATATCAGTGACTCATACCTGAGAGGAATGTGGAGAGGAGGGGGCTTTTGCAGGACTCTGAGTCAGACATAGTCGCACATTCATGGAAAAGTCCCCATGTTCACTGGAGAATTGAGGCAGGAAGACTGTGCAAGTTCAAGGCCAGTGTGGGCAACAAATAGGGTCTTCGCAGATGTAGTCAAGTAAAGTTGAAATCATGGGAGCTGGCAAGATGGCTCGGTGGTTAAGAGCTGTACTGTTGTTTTTGGCATGCACACTAAGCATGCCTATAACTAGTTCAAGGGAATCAAATGCCTCTGGCCTCTGCAGACACCAGAACGCACACGCACGCACACACACACAGACACACACACAGAGGCACACACACAGTAAAAATCAGTCTTTCAAAAGATAGGCTATCCTGGGTTGTTGGAGGGTTATCTACTCAGATGACCAGTGTCCCTACTGGAGAAGGAGAATTTGGACAGAGGCAGATGAGAGTAATGTATCCACAGGCCTAGACACAGCAAGGGTCATCTGTAGCTGCCAGAAGTTAGAAGAAGTAAACAAGGGTCTGTCTGAGCTTACAGTGGCTGTGGTGCCCTGCTAATGTCTTGATTATTTAAATTTTTTAAAAATGATTTAGGCACCTGAGTGTTTTTTCCTGTGTGTATGTGTGTGTATTGCATGGGTGCCTGGTTCCCTCTGAGGCTGGAAGAGGCCGTTGAATCACCTGGCTCTGGAGTTAGGATGTCTCTGGTGACATGGGTGCTAGGAACCTAACTCGGGTCCTTTTCAAGAGCATCTCATACTATTAACCTCTGAGCCATCTCTCCAGCCTCATGTTTGTTCACTTTTGAGATGAGGTCTTGATATGCAGCCCTGACCTACTAACCTGGTTTGTAGCCCTGACCTATTAACCAGATTTTAGACCCCAGTCTGTGGATGGACACATTTTAGTTGTTCAAAGCTCCCAAGTCCAGGGAAGCTAAAGTTCAGGCTCTTGTGTGCAGAAGTGTATATAGATCAGACCCTTCGTGTTGAGGCCACACAACCCTGTCACGGTAAGTCCTGGGTGACAGTGTCACTGATAGGCAGCTAGTTGAAAAGCATGGTGTATTTCCACACAGGCACACTGGCTCTCCACGCCCCCATGTGGACTGAGGTCAAGGGATCACATTAGAAAGGGTGAGAACACTAAGAATGCCTGCCTGCCATTGCAGGAAAGGTGAGTGCTTCTTGACTATGATGGTGTAAGCATTGAACCTTTGACCTTGGCTGCCTTCAGGGAGGAGGAGTTCAGGAGATGAAGTCTGGGAGCACCTGGTACAATCCAGGAGAATATTCCAGCACCGAGCCACACCCCGCCCCTCCCTTAGTTTTAAATTTTGAATGTAGTACGTTTTTATTATTGTGTGTTTGTTTTGTTTCTCACTGCGGAGATCAGGCTGGCCTCAAACTCACAGAGATCTTTTGCCTCCCAAGTGCTGGGATTAAAAGTGTCCATCACCACTGAACCCAGCTATTATTGTTTACATTCATTGTAAATGATATATAGTGTGTTGGGCACAATGTTAGGGCTTATCTCTCAGGGGCTGGAGAGATGGCTCAGTGGTTAAGAGCACTGGCTGCTCTTCTAGAGGACCCAGGTTCAGCTCCCAGCATCCAAATAGCAGCTCACAACTATCTGCAACTCTAGTTCCAGGGCTCCTGACACCCTCACAGAGACATAATGCAGGCAAAACACAAATGCAAATAAAATGAATCTTGAAGAAAAAAAAAAAAAAAGAAGAAGAACTTTCTCTCTTTGCAGGGCAGTGGTGGTGCACACCTTTAATCCCAGCACAGCAGGTGGAGGCGAGCAGATCTCTGTGTGAGTTCCAGGCCAGTCTGGTCTACAAAGTGAGTTCTAGGACAGCCAGAGTACCAGACAGCACAGAGAAATCCTGTCTTCAAAAAAGAAAAGTTTCTCACTTTTTTGTTTGCTTGTTTTTGCCTTTATTTTGAAGACAGGGTTTCCCTGTTAAATAGCTTTGGCTACCTCTACCTCCTGAGTGTTGGGGTTAAAGGCTTGCACCACCACAGCCCATAGAGAACTCTCTCTCTTTTAAAGACTTGTTTTATTATTTATGTACGTACCTCTGTATGTACTCAGAGGCCAGAAAAGAGTGCAGAATCCCCCCTAGAACTGGAGTTGTTTGTTTTTATTTCATGTATTTGTGATTTTTGCCTGCATGTATGTCTGTGCACCACATACACGCAGTGCCTGAAAACGCCAGCAGAGTGTGCTCTCCACCACGCACCCCTCAGCCTGTAGCCCAGGCTGGTCTGGAACTCCACATACAATCAAGAACGACCTTGAATTTCTGATCTTCCTACTCTTAAGTTCCTACTTTTAAATCCCAGGTACTAGAATTAGGGTTCTATACCACAACACCCTCTCTCCCTCTGCCTCCCTCCCCTTCCATCCAGCAGAGTCCCATGTATACAGGCTGGCTTCTAAATTGAAACGAAACTCCTCGTTTTCTTGCCTTAGCCTGTCGAGTGCTTCTGACCTTGAACTTGTCTGCTGTTTGTAGCACCTTCCTCACCACACCAGGCCTTGTGCCAGGAGCTCCTGGAGAGGGGCTCCCAACCGGCAGGAGGCAGCGCTGAAGCGCTGATACAGTCGCCCCCTGGTGTTCCTCTGATGTCTTCGCAGCTGCTTTGAAGGATTTTGTACCTGAAAGGGAAGCTGTTTGTCCCACAGGCGGCCCCTTCCAGAGAGAGCGGTATTTGTTTTGTTTTGATTTTCCTTTTTCTCCTTTCCTTATGTTTGCCCCCGCCCCCGGACTGGGAGTCGAACCCAGGGCCTCAGGCATGCTGGGCAAACGCTGAGTCACGCCCCAGCCTTGTTCTGTCTCTTTAAAGCAGTAGCCAGAACTCTTAACTGGCACACCACCAGCAAGCAGTCTGCCCTCTTCCACCAACCCTGTAAATCCAACCAGACTACAAAGGCCCCATTTCTGTGGGCCTGACTGGACAGGGAGCCAAGGAGTAGAGCCCAAGTGAGAGAGGTGGAGAAAGACTGTGCGGGGGGGGGGGGGTGGGGTGGGGGGGGCTGGGAGCGAGCCGTCCAACAGCCAGAGAGCTCGATGAGTAAGTATATCTAGACTCTTCTCCCAAATCTAGTGCCTTGTTAGGATGTCAGTAGACCAGGGTTAGATGCTGATGCTGTATGAGCCCAAGTCTCAACCTCTCTGAACCTCAGATTTTGCTTTTGCTTTGCTTTAGTTTTTCACTTATTAAAATTGTATTGATTTTACTTATGTGTGTGTGCATGCAGTCGTGCGCAAGTGTACATACACCACATGTGTGGGTACCCACAGAGGCCAGGGGAGAGTGTTGGGTCCCCTGGAGCTGGAGTGGTTAGACATGGATGCTGGGAACAGCACTCTCTCCCGCCTCTGGAAGATCAGCAGTCACTCTTCCAACCCTCCTCTCTATCTTATTTTCTGAGAAGATGCCCTACTCAGCTCAGGCTGGCTTGGGTTGCCATCCTCCTGCCCCAGTCTCCTCAGTGCTGGGATTACAGGTGTGCCCCACATGACCTTTCTGCTATCAGCTTTGTTTTAGTTTTGCCTCTAAAAGATGGAGAAGAAGGACACCAGGTCCTTGAGATTGCTTGGAAACCTGTTGAGCTTCACCTAGAGCTGTTGTGGGAAGAGA